AAGGGGGGGGGGGGTGACTGCCGCGGCCGACGTTCAGGGCCCAAAACGAGAAATTCTCTTTTTTTTTAAAAAAAAAGAGGGGGTGGCGGTGATTGCATCATAGTTCTGCACTTGGATTCTTTGAGGAAGTCTTGCGTAAACAAGCTTCAGAACCTTGAGGGGCAAAAGAAAGAAGTCGCTCCTGCCAAAGCGTGTACGCGCGTCCTTCGTTAACGTTCAAACACAACAAATCAATGCTCAAATGAATGGATCGTTTGGGGGATGATCAATTCATCCTTCTCGTGGGATCGGAAATGGTCCGCGTGGCCAGAGCGCGGGCCTCCGGCGGTCAACGTTGGCCCATTTCCGTCGTCCCGACGCAAATAGGCGCTGTGATCGCAGCAAGCGATGCTGAGCATGTTGTGAGGCGCGACGCCGTAAAGCAGCGACACCCACCGCGTTCGACATTCAATCAATCAGGTGTCAAAATGGTGGCTTTTTGCAGGCCCGCGAGCGAGCGATTCTCGTGCCCGGAAAAGCGGGGAAGACGTTAGCCCGCGAGCCAAAGGTTTCCCGGCGAAAGGCTCTCACCCGCGTCGTCGTCTGACGAGTGGAAGGGGTCTCCTGCAAACGCACAAAAACACAAGTGTGGGAGGGCGGCGTTGGCGGCCTCCAGTGCGGGCGGCGGCGGCCGGCCTTACCGCTCAGCTCCTTGTCGGGCGACGAGAGGGGCGAGAAGTCCAGGCAAAGCCCCCCGGGAAGCGAGAGCGAGCTGTTGGCGGTGTCCAGGGACGAGTAGCAGCCGTCGGCCTTCTTGCCGCCCGCCGCGGTGGACTCGGAGCCTTCGTCTTGGTCGTCCGCGTCGCTGAGAACGTCTGCGAGGACAGCGCGCGGCCGCGTCAGGGCGGCGAGCAAAAGCGGACGGGCGCCGTTCGGTCTCGTTTGAGGGGCACGAGTACTTGCGCGGCAAAGAGCCCGCCTTTTTCTTTTTTTTCTGCCAGTGAGCGGCGGGCGCCTGACCTCCCGTGGGACTCATCAGCAGGATGCCGTGGACCATCTTCTCCACCGAGTCCAGGGACTTCCTCTTCCTCCTCCCCGCCGAGCCGTTGGGAGCGCGCAGGAGGGCCAGCCGACGCTTGCCGTCGCATTTCAGGTCCGCCCATTTCTTCATGATTTGCCGCACCTGAGACACAAAGCGCGCGTGGGCGGCGCGATTCTGGAGGTCAACAAATGCGAACAACAAAACAAGCCCGCGTTTCACAGCCGATGACCGAGGAAACAGAAAAAAAGCCCCATGGAGTCTGCTGCTCTTCCGTCGCTAAAAGTCAGCGAAAATTTGCAAAAATGGGCGGCGGGCTCCCATTTGCCATTTCTAAGATGAAGCCTTTGGTCCAAGTTTGCCCAAGGCGAAGGCCCCCCAAAGCCCCGAAAATGACGTGGCTCACCTCTCTGTGGTTCTGTCCCAGACCGTTGATCTGATCGGTGATCTCGGCCCACTTTTGTTTCTTGGCCTCTGCCGACACGCCGTGATTAAACTTCCCTGAAGGACGACACCAGGCTCGCTCGTTAGGTTGTTGAGGACTTGAGGGGGGGTAAATATGCTTCATACTTGCGGTTGTTATTCAATTGGCCTTTTCCCACCTTTGTGACACGTTTTGCACGTCCGAGCTCAACAATGTCATTCGTGTCCACTAGCTGGCAAGAGCACAAGCTTGTTGCTGCCCCCCCAACCCGGAAAACCTGCACTTTCGCCTGTTTGGGGATTTTTTGCAGGTTTTTACCTTTGGCTGTCCGGGACCGGCTCAGCCCACAAATAAATTAGCGTTGTATTACCGTTGCGCGTTTGCATTTGGTGATTGCGAATCTGCTTGAAATATCTTTGAAGGCTCCGTCGGCCACTTCTCGGCCCAACGACACAAAAGGGCGGCATGAATTGGAACCCCCGCGCCCCGGACTCACTGAGGAGGATGTATCTGTTCCTGCGGACTTGCTGCAGCAGCATCTTGATCTCGGAGAAGGAGAACCTGGGCCGGTTGCCGAGGCCCTTGGCCCCGCCCGCCTTCAACTCCTCGTCCTCGTCCTGCCAGGAGGTCGCCATGGCCGGGGCCCCGCTCGTCTCCGTTGCCGTCGCCGCTCCTCCTCGCGAGCACGCCGGCGTCCTGTCGGGTCGGTGGTCCTGAGGCGACGGCGGGACAAGAGCGAGGCCGGCCGCATACAAAGTCATACAAAGTACACAAACCAACCAAACTTTTTGATCATAAGATTTTCGTGGGGCCTGTTGAGGCCCAAAATCCCCACAAGTGCATCCAGTCATGGAGTTTATTTGAATTGATTTCCAAAAAAGGCGTCCAGAAAAATAGAAAGGCCATAAGAACCAAGCCCATTCCAGCAAATCAATTTCAAACTAATTCATTTTAGGTAAATGACCCCCCCCCACAAACACACACACACACCAAAGCGATGTCCGGTCACGTGCTCCGTCTCGGCCAATCATCGGCGTCCTTGCCGAGCTTTTGTAGCCTAGCAGCCTGCCTGAACTCAAACATCAAGTTTTGGGGGGCGCCCACGTTGCCTTGGAGACGCCAACATTTCATCGGCGGCGGGCAGACGGAACGAACGTTCGATGGGTCACCATGGAAACGGCGAGTTCGCCCGCGTCGCGTCGCGGGTAAGCCCGAAGACGCCCGTCGTGCTAGCGAGCTGCGGGCTAACGCGCTAGCCGCCGACCGGACGGGTGTTTTGTGAGCGGGCGTTTGTGCGCGCGCGCTTGCCCGCGAGTGTCCGCGTGTAGTAAGTGTTCGTACTCCGAAGAAAATGAACAAGAGGATGAATGAAAACGTCATGTTTACCGACAAAATGGCGACGTCCGCGGCCCTGCTCGAAATTTCGCCGAATGGGGAGGGGGGGAGAAGAAGGTGGCCACGGCGCATGCGCAGCAGCGAGCGCCGGAACGCGTCGTCGTCGATGCGCGCGCAGCGTGCGCAAACTCAACCGCGACGGCGAGCGGCCGCGACCCCAACGCGCACTTCGGACCTTCAACATTTCAAGGCGCAAAGTCTGGTCCGCGGTCCGCATCGCATCCGGCCCGGCCAGCATTTTCACTGTCACCACTTCCAAAGGTCCAGTGAGTTCGTTCATTCAAATTACTCTCAAATTGCTTCAGGTATATATTCCGTTTTAGAGTTGTATTGGTCTTGACATGTCCTGCTCAATCATTTCTAGATCGATTTATTGTAAATAATATTTGAAGTTTGAACCGTTTAATACACAATGGCGCCTTGACATGAAAGTTCGATTTTGTTTGGGGACCACACTTGTCACTCGAAACACTCACAAATTCGGGCAGGCTGACTGTGAGAAGATCGGAAAAAAAATCGCAAGTGTTTTTTTTTTTTTTTTCATCGCGTCCGCCAATTTCAAATCATCTGCACCGAAAACTGACGAAACTAGTGCGTACCTCAGCATTTTCGAAGATAGGAAATACACAAAAGGAAAAAAAAATGTATTTGGATCAATCTGAACACTTTCTGACGAACGTCGCAAAGGGAGCGGAGGCTGGCCAAACGTGAGCCGACGTCACCGGGTGCAAGGTGGCATTCCACCCAGCAGAGGGCAGCCTTGGCTGCCTCGCGAGAAGCTCCGAAGGAGAAGCGCGGGTTCCGAAAGCCGAGAAGCAGCAAATGCCGGACGTCTCTCGCGTTCTACTCGGGAAAGGAAATCGGCGACACATCCTTCCGGCAGCCCAGAAGGAAATATTCGCTCGCGATTGCTTGCCGTCACACACGTGATGTGTGCGATCGAGTCGGTGAACTCCCGATTTGTCACCGTGATCGACCTGAATGTGATCGCCATCACCAAATGCGAGCTTAATATTTGCCCGCCCCCCCCCCTTGTTTCATCGTTTTCTCCCGACACACACCTTCCGCTGACACAATCACGCAAGTTCAAACACACGCAAAGCAACCACGCAGTCATCGGCCCAATACTTTATTCCTCATGAACAGTAAGTGGTCCAAATGAAAGAACATCTTGTGCGTTGGAGCGATGGTTTGTCGTCCGAATTCACTTTTGGAGCCCGCCGTACGACCCCCACCATTCGGCGACGACCATCGGGCCCGTGTCGGGCGGCGGGGTGACCGTCGAACAAAATTCCCAGGCTGAATTTCGGTCTGAGAACGCGGCCGGTTGCAGCGGCGCGTGGGTTCGCCTGCGCTAGCAAACGCTTTGCCGTTAGCGATGCTCAGCATAGCGATGCTCAGCAAACTCGTCTCGGTTTCTCTCCACGATCGTCTTCCGGCGAAGGTGCTTTGCCGGTTTGGAAGCCGAGTGCAGCCATCTCGTGACCGCGCACGTTGGTCAACGTGCGTTTCATTTGAAACTCTTGTGTCAGCAGAACGAAGGACAGTCGTGGATGCGCCCGCCGTCAGAGTCTTGGCGTCGAGCCTTCTGAAAAGCGCCGACGCCGCGGGCTGCGCAAGAACGGGGGCGGGGCCGCCAACGACCTCCCGGCTCCACCGTTGAAA